GCACTGTATGTTTTGCCACTCCCTCTGGCCTGCAGAGTTTCTTCTGAGAAATCTTTGATACCTTGTGGGATTTCTCTTATGTAACAATTTGTTTTTCTCTTTATGCTTTTAAGATTCTGTCTTTCTTTTTAACTTTGGACATTTTAATTACAATGTGCCTTTGTTTGAATCTTTGGGTTCATCTTACTTGAAACTCTGGGCTTTGTGGACCTGAATGTCTTTTTCCTTTCTTAAATTTTGAATGTTTTCAGCCATTATTTCTTCAAATAAGTTTTCTGCCCCTTTCTCTTCTCCATCTGGGATCCTTATCATATTGTTGTCCTATAAGTTTCTTATGTTATCTTCATTTTTTTTATTCTTTGTTCTTTCTGCTACTCTGAATGAGTTCCACTGCTTTGTATTGCAGCTCACTGACCTGTTCTTCTGCTTCAATCCTTCTAATGTATTTTTCAGTTCAGTTACTGTATTCTTCAGTTTTGTGACTTCTGTGTGTTACTTTCACATATTTTCTATCCCTTTGTTGAAGTTCTCACTGTGTTCATCCAATTTTCTCCCTCATTTGGTAAGCATCTTTATGAATATCACTTTGAGTTCTTTATCAAGTAAATTACTTATCTCCATATTATTAAGGTCTTTTTCTGAGGTTTTGTCTTGTTCTTTCATTTGGAACATATTTCATTGTCTCCTCATTTTGCTTGACTATGTGTTTGTTTCTATCTATTACCTCTCTAAGTATTACATGAATGGCTTCATTAGATGATGAGCTTTCTCATTCAATCTGGCCCTAGCTCTTGTTCATCTCAATCCTCTGTGATTGCCTAGACCACCTAATTTATTCATGACATGTCCCTGTTGTTGAGAGTGTGCCAAGATATGTCAGTGTTCCAAGTGGGGGAATCTCATTTAGCTAGCACCTAGTTTCAGGCTGATTGGAATGCAGACCCTGAGGAAGTAGTATTTAAAGTATGCAATGGTATACAGTCCTGTGGAGTCGCAGTCATGATCCCTGTTGGCCTCCAGACCAGGATATCTGGAGGTGTCCTCTGGGCAACAGTTGCTAAAATTAGGGTTCCAGGTGAGTATAAAGCTCTTTTCTGGGATGCCTCATTGAGCTGTAGTGAGGTCATGGAGGAGTGCAAGTTTGGTGTCTCCCTGCTTATGTTCCTTGGGAGCGCCTTCTTAGCCTCTAGGTGTGTGTGAAACCTGAAACCTGCCCCTCAGCCTGAATCTCTTGGCCAGATAATAGCCTTTCTCACAGGAAGACTGGTTGCGTTCCAGTCCAGTGTCTGCGCAGTGTTGTCTGAAGAACTCTCTTTGGTTTTTACATTCCCATGGTGCTCAGGAATGCCAGCTCCCTTGGCCATCAGGGCAGGCCATCAAGGGGAAACCTGTATGGATTGTGTGTGCCCACTGACCTTAGCTAGGCAGCTGGAGAGTGTAGTAGGCAGGACATGCTCACTGGCTTCAGAAAGGCAGCTGGAAAATGTCTTGACACCTGTGTCCCTGGGCTTTAGGATGCAGTGGGAGAAGGCCTTTTCTGTGCATATGTGCTGGCTTTCAGCTGGAGCAGGCAAATGCTGTGGCTGCTCATGCTTGCCAGCTCCAGCTAGGGAGCTGCAGAGTAGTGCAACCACCATTCTCTCTGGCTTCAGTGAGGCAGTGGGATGGTGCCAGAAGTGCTCACTCCTTCCTGTTTCTTCTCAAGTTGGCAGGAGGGTGCCACATCTGAGCATGAGCACCTGTGCAAACAGGATAGGTGGAGAATACAAAATTGGCATATGCCAGCACCTCTCTTTCTCTGGGGAAAGTTTCACCTAAGCCCTGCTTCTCCAGGAGATGCTTTTAGATTAGCAAATGAATCTCCTCACATATATACTCCAGGCATTTTTCAAACTGCTGTTTTTTTCTATCTATTACCTCTCTAAGTATTACATGAATGGCTTCATGTAGGTGATAAGCTTTCTCATTCAATCTGGCCCTAGCTCTTGTTCGTCTCTCAATCTTCTGTGATTGTCTAGACCACCTAATTTATTTGTGACATGTCCCTGTTGTTGAGAGTGTGCCAAGATATGTCAGTGTTCCAAGTGGGGGAATCTCACTTAGCTAGCACCTAGTTTCAGGCTGATTGGAAAGCAGACCCTCGAGAAGTAGCATTTAAAGTATGCAAGGGTATTACAGTCCTGTGGGGTTGCAGTCATGATCTGCTGTTTTTTTGGGAGGTCTCAGGGCATATGAGATCACATGCCAAGCCTTTAAAAGGGGAATCTCAGTTTCCTATAGTACTTTGGATTCCTTGGATATCAGCCCCATTGGTTTTCTAAGCCAGATGTTTTGGAGGTTCATGTCTCTGGTGCAGATCCCAGAGTTTGGGGTGCCTGATGTGGACCACCCACCTCTTACTCTTCCAGGAGGTGCCCCAGACTTATGAAATACCTCCAACTTCTGTGTTGCTGTGCCTGGGTGAGGTTTTCGGTGAGACCTTCTCTCTACCCTCCCATCTGTCTCGATGTAGTCTTTTGTCCTTTGTTGTGGAGAAGCAGTTAATCTAGCTTTCATGTGTTTTTCAGAGGGAAGTGTTCTATATGTAGCTGTAGATTTGGAATGTCCATTGGAAGAAGTGATTTCAGGATCTTCCTACAACAACGTCATGTGGAAGTCCTTTTTTTTCTTTTTAATCTGCTTCTCTTTGACTTACTACTGAGAGAATAAGTTAAACTCCTTCTGTGTTGATGAATTTATCTATTTCTTGTTTCATAAATTTTTATGATATGTTAATAGATTCACACAAGTTTAAGATTGTAATATCTATCTACTTAAACTTTTTATCTTGATGTAGTCACTTCATATCTACTAATGGTTTTACCGTAAAGTCTATTTTGTCTAATATTAATATAGCTTGTAATTGCTTTCTTTTGGTTGCTTATTTGCCCAATAAGCATTTTTTAATTTTTTTCAACTTCTCAATAGTTGTTTAGGAGTGTCTTACAACCAGCATATGACTATTTTGTAAATGCATTCTGATCCTCTTTAGCTTTTAACTAAATCACTTTACCATTTGCATTTATCATGTTTACAATTATTTCTACCATTTTTTGTGTTTTTTGTTTTTCTTAACTCTTCTGTTGTTCTTTTATATCCTTTTAGCTTCTCCTTTGGATTATTTTTTGCCTCTTTATTTTCTTCACAAAAATGTTTAGTAATTGTGTCTTCTGTTTATTTTCTTTTACTGATGGCTCTAGAAATTTCAACCTGCATTTGTTTCAGGTCTAATCAATATATTTACCCTTCACCAAAACAATACTGATAACTTAGAATACTTTAATTTCTGTCATTCTCTCCTAATTTATACTGTATTGATTCTCAGGGATTGGTACTACTATAAAAACACATGCATAAACATTATTTTATATAGTCATTGATTTATATTTACCCACATACTTACCACTTTCTTTGCTAATCATTCCTTCCTGCATGTCAGATATGCTCAATAGGAATTCTTTTCTTCTGCCTTAAGTACATGATTTAAAACTTCCTAATGAGGGTCATTTGGTTGCAAACTATCTTGGTTATTCTGTCTGAGTGTGTCCTTACTTCCCCCCTCATTTTTGAAACAAAGATATTTTATTAAGTATACATTCTCAGTTGAGTCACTTTCTTTTAACACATGAAGATATTTATTATATTGTGCCTTCCAATAGTTGAAGTTTTATCTAATTTTTATTCCTTTGAAGGTAAATTTTCTTTTCTCTCTGGCTTTTTTCTTAAGGTCCCCTTTGATGTTATGGGGTTTTAGTATGATTTGTCTAATTCTGGATTATCTTTTGTTTATCCTGCTTGGGATATGTTGGATTTCTGAATCTGTCAAGTGTTCAGTTCATCAGTCCTGGAAAAATCTTGGCCTTTCTACTCAAATATTACCTCTGCCCCATCTTTTCATTCTAGCTTACCTATAGTTTTCATATTTTTTCATTTCTTTGCATAATTTCTTCAGATCTACTCATTCACTAAATCAGCAACTGTATCCAATCTGTCGAACTCATCAATTCAGTTCTTTGTTTTTTAATTTCCAGGTCTAGAAGTTCTCTCTCTTTACTTTCATTAGCTTTGGTAATTTTTATAGCCTCATGATGTTAACTCATATTTTACCCTTTAATTTCTTTAAAAATAAAAAATAAATTCTATATTATATATTCTAATATACATTCTTTATGGATCTGAATTTGTTCTTTGTGGTTTTTGCCAGCTCTTGTCCAGATGCTTCCTGCTGTTTTCTAATTTTTAAAAATTATTGTGTCATATTTCTTGAAACTTTATCTGCTGTAATTCTTTGAAGTCTGGGTAACTTTCTCCAGAGAGAAGATATTTATTTGCTTTTGCCAAGCATTTGTGGGGGCTACCAGCCTGGGAATACTTATTATTGTATGATATTATTGTACAAATATATTACTTATTTGAGATTTCTCAGGTTATCCGATAGTTTCGTGCTGTAGACTAAAGGAGTTCTCACTTGTGTTTGCCGATTCTTAGGAAATATTTCTTTCTCCTCTACTCAGTGCCCAGTCTTTGAGACAGTCAATCTTCCTAAGTCCCATGGAGTGAACTATTTCTAGATCACCCTTAAGTTGAGAATGTAACAATTTGAGATGCTAGCTTTATAAGGTCTCCAATAAGATTGCCCACTTAAAGCCTGTTGGTTTTGTGTTCTGATTCCATGCCCCATGAGCCATCTGTTTTATATCAAGTGACATCAAGGTAAAAGAGGATTTTATTTGTAATCTCTGAGAATTTCTGTCTTTATTTAATTTCTGACTTCTGAGTAGTTTTTATAAACTACTTACCAGATTTCATTCCTGCATTTAAGGTGTTTTTAAAAAATATTTTATCAGCATTTTTAGTGGTTTTTAGCAGGAAGGTTGATGACGAGTCTTATTCTTTCATACTGCTGGAAAAGGAAATCCAGCTGTTTTACATTTTTGACATGAACTTTTTTTTGCCTCTAGCTCCCCATATATAGTACACCACCTCTTCAGTCTAAGTATGTGGAAGAGCAGCCTGGTAGTTTACAAATGGGCTTTGCATCCATCCGTACTACAACTGGTCATTATATTGGCTGGTGCAAGGTAAGTCAGTTCTAATAGCAGTTAAATAATAGAAGTTTCTGATTTGTATTGCATAACAGTTGTCCCAGTTACTCACTGATGTGTAAGAAACTACGCCAAAACTTAGTTGCAACCATTCTGTATACCTCATGACTTTATGAGTCAAGATTTTGATCAGAATTTGGATAGGCGATTCCTCTGTTGCATGTCATGTTGACAGAGGTCACTTAGTGATACTCATCAGGCAAGTGGGCTGAACTAGAGGATCTAAGACAGCTTGAATCTATCTCTGACACCTTGTCACAGATGGCTAACAGATGGCTCAGCTGGGAATGTTGACTGAAGGACCTACATGTAGCTTCTCAGGCTTAGTGGTCTCAAGGTAATCAGATAACTTACATGTGCAGTTCAGGACTTCTAGAGAAATTGTTCCAAGAGGCCATAGGCAGAATTTGCCAAGCTTCTTCCCTACCTCAGATGACCTTGAATGTTACTTTTGCAGCATTCTGTTAAAGCAAGTCACTAAGGCCTATCTAGTTTTAAGAGGGGAATTAGATGCCACCTCTCCATACAAGTAGCACAGAGAATTTGTGGCCATATTTAATCTACCACTCCTGCATAGATTAAAATAGTTCAGCAAGCATTTATGTCACCTAGCATGTACTTGTTTGATCTTTTACATGAAGTTGTGAAGTTACTTTTGAATTTTTCCTTATTTGCCTAAGCAAAATGTTCACTTACTGAGTTTAGATCATTAAGACCGTTCTGACTTCAGTCAGCTATTGGGAAGAATAGAGTTCACCTTATTTTAATACTTAGCTTTCAGTCAGCATTACCCAGAAGTAGAATGGTGGAGTAAACTAATACAATACTGATGTTTCATTATCATCACATCAATATAGGTGTGTTAACATCAATATTTCCAGTGTCAATGTCATAATGGTAATGTTGGCACCACTGTTTTCATCATTCTGACCTTATAGCCACACAATGTCTCCTCAGATCTAACTATTCAATTGTGAACCCTTGTGCTTTTTTCTAATCCTTTCTCTTTAAAGAGAAAATTTTAATAATTTTGAAATATCAAATCTGTGAACTCTGGACATTCCAGGTGATATTTCAAAAATCTGATGAATTCAGTGTTATTTTTGAAACTGTGTGCCTGTCAAACAATTGTAATAGTGCTAGCTGTACTATACACTCTTAATAATTGAATCTCAGAGGGAAATAGCTTAACTAATTAAGGTCTGAATCATGCCCCTGAGGCTGTATGCCAACAGTTAGATGATTCAGCCTCAAGTCTCCTGGGAGCTAATTTTCCATAGTGTTCTCAAAGTTGTTTTCAGTGAGGTAAATTGTTCCTGAGAGAGCTTTAAATTGCTATTGTTACTATCACCCAATTTAAGACTTAAAGAACTTTTTGTTAATATGCCAAAACAAATAGCTTGAAGAGAGGCACTTTCGAATGCATTTCATCTTCAGTGTAAACAGCTTTTCCTCTAATTTTCCCCTAAAAACATAATCTATTCTTTAAAAATTACTTCTGACCTAAATTGCACTCTGCATTAAGCTTGGAATCATGCAGGGCAAATTCACTTCCTCCTCCTACTCCGTAGTGTTTTGGAATTTAGATAGCAGTGACCCCCAGTGGTAAAAGTGGATTCCTAAATACAGCTAGGGAAAATTTCCCAAAAGTGACCAGTTTTTTTCCTCAATAGTTACATGACTCCCAGTCAACTGGTCAGTATTATAACTTTGTGGGTGAAATTTTCTCAAGAGACAGCCCCTAAATAGAAGTAGTTCAGTGTTGGTTAGGGTCTGTACTGGTTTGTACAGCTTTCAACTGTAATAAAGAGGTTGAAGCTATGTATCTCTGATCATCATGAAAATATATGAGACAAAATTACTAATATCAAGCTATCTCAATAGCAATAATATTTCTTTACTGTCTAATGCAATCCTTTCTATTTTCTTTGCTTTGAAAATCTCTTTTGTTGTTGTATTTATCCTGCTTTCATAGCAGCTAGTTCAGAGTAGGAGAGCATATATTTGGATTGTGTTTTCTGCATCCTTCGATAGAGTACAGCATGACTATGGGTAAATTATTCCATACCTTCGTTTTTCTATTGATGTAATTGAGATAGTACCTATCACTCAATAAATGTGTATAACAGTATTTCTTGCATTAAAATAAATTGGTTAGAAATAAATAAAAGGAAAATTTTGATTTAAAGCTTTAATTCCTCCAGTGGGTCAATATAGTCTTGATTTGCAGAAAATTTATGATCCTATTTAAAAGCAAGATGGACACTAGTCTGTGTAGAATGATTTCTGTCCTGAGATAAAATTCTTATTTAGATTTTTTTCTCATTCTAATACACACTATGAGAGGGGGAGAAGGTGAAGTACTTTTTGGGCTTCTGTTGTTGTTTTTTCCACAACCATTATATTACTGCTGCTACATCTTTATTAATTAGATACTGCTTCTGAGGTGAAAGGTACCTCTCTTCATCCTTTATTTAAATTACATTCATTTTCCTAGGCCATTGTAAAATGTGATGATAAATATTTGCATTTCTGCAATAGCTGTTCTGTGAGCTGCTCTGATTATTTTATAAGCAACTTTGCCTATTTATGGAGGAAACTAGGTAACAGGTATTATCCGTGTTAAATAGAATGAAAAGCAAGAAATGAAGAGAAACTAAGTTCAACAAGTATCCTCACAGTGATTAAATAGGAAAGCTAAATTTAGATTTTAGTGCAATGCTAAATCAGTGCTTGAATATAACCTCAGAGCTGTTGACTATTTGATCTCATTAACATCTTCAAAAATGCAGATGTCCTTTTTTCCCCTTTTTGCTTAGGGTATTTATGTCTTTGTGAAAAATGGGATAATGGATACAGTACAATTTGGAAAAGGTAGGTGACCAAACCATCCACAATTAGAAACAGTTATTATCTTTTTAATTTGCAAGGTTTCAATGTAAGGAAATAAACATGGTATGCTACCATTATCATGTTTTAGCAATTCAGAAAGCACTCTGTATAACACTTTATGATGACAATAAAGCAATAGTACCTATCATTTATTTAGCAATTACATACTAAGGCACTATGATAGGAATTTTACATGATTTATCTAATTTAATTTTTGTGGCAATTCAGTGAGTGTTTGGTATTAAAATTATCCCCACTTTATAGATGAGGAAACTGAGGTTTAGAAAGGTTAACTAGGTTATCAAGGTCACATAGCAAGTAAGTGGCAGCACCTGGACTCAAACTGAGGTGTGTTTTAGTTACAAAGCCCATATTATATGCTAAGAAAATGTAAATTAGAAACATGTCTCCATTGTTATCAACTAGTTTAAATAAATGCTATTTGCTGTTAAAATACATAGTATTTTGCTATTGATTGATAGGAAACACTGTACCAATCATTCACCCTAGAATATCTGAGCTAATGTTAGAAAGTAGTTGTATTTGACTCTGGTTTGGCAATGGAGTTTGGCAGCAGATATAGCTTCCTAATATTCTGAGATTAAGTCAGTTGTCAAAATAAATATGTGTGGAGGACAGAAAGATCAGCTAAAATTGTAAATGTCTTCATGATGTTGATGACCTATATATATGCATTACCATTATTTAGTATATGTAGGAATTAATTCTAAATTATAGTCCTCATCAATCTTGAAGAATATGATTAAATAAGTGATTGCCATTAAGTAATTTACTGTGATAAAAGAATGTGTTTTTTGGATTGCATGAAAAAGAAACAATTTAAAGATACAAAAACCAAGAAATCTGGACTTCTGTCCATTCTCCATCTACTTTTTCCCCAGGCTCACTTCTCATCCTAATCATTGGTTTTATTCAAGAGCAACATCTGCTCTGAGGTTATTGGGGAGTAGTGGCAATCAGGTTCTGGTAGCTGCATGTATCCGTAGATGGTTATTCAAAGTTCCCTAATAAAGTATCTATTTAATTCTTACTGGATTCTACCAGTGTTTGAACAGGTAAGGCCAGAAGAATTTCCATTATAGTGGTATAGTACATATACTATCAAGAATTTATAGTAATCCATATTAAGGTATGCACTCTAGCATTATACTTCATTAGAGTAGTAATCACACCTGTGTATTAAGAAAACAAGTATCATTAAGTCACCTATTGAAGGAAGATTTTATTTTGTAACTAGTAAGTAGTGTAACTGCTTTTTAAGTTGCTGCTCAGATTATTCTTTTGTGTAGCTCCTTTGAAGTGTTTAAACCATCTGCTATTTTCTTCACAAATCTCTAACTTTTCTGCATCATAACTATTTATAATGCCCAATTGTAGTAAGCCCACTTACGTTAATTCTTAACTGGTTTCTTGAGATGCATATGTCTATCTGAAGAATCCACCTCGAGATTTTCTTCCGAAAATTGGAATGATTACAGTTTCAGGATTGGCAGGCTTGGTTTCAGCAAGAAAAGGTAGGGATTAAAATACATATTCTCTCTTTCAATGCCATTATGTTAATTTTGAAATGTTACTGTCATGGGAAAATATACCTTTTATTGAATATTACTAGGATAGACTACCATAAGAATTTTTAGATTGTATAGTACAGCATGTTTACTTTTGTAAAGGCCTTCTGTGTTTTCAAAAATACAGCTATTCCAAAAGATGTTCAACATGAGATGTTATTAGGGAAATGCAAGTGAAAACCACAATGAGATACCTTTATACACCTATCAATGTCTAAAATTAAAAATATTGACCATACCAAAACAATGTAGAGCAACTGAAACTCTCATGCATGGGTGGTGGGAAAACAAAATGGTACAGCTGTTCTGGAAAATAGTTTGACAGTTTCTCATAAAGTTAAATATATGCTTACATGAGACCCCGTAATCCTACTCATGGGTAATTACCCTGGAGGAATGAGAAACCTGTACACAAATGTTTATAGTAGCTGTATTCATAATTACTAAAATCTGAAAAGAACCTAAATGACTTTCAACAAAACTAAGCTGTGGTATATCCATACAAAGAAATACTACTCAGTAAAAAAAGGAGTGAACCACTGACATGTGCAACAGTCTTGATGAATCTGAGTTAAAGAAGCCATTCTAAAAAAGTTACATATTATATTCCATTCATATGACTTACTCAGAAAACATGAAACTACAGTGACAAAGAATAGGTCAGGGGTTCCTTGGGGTTAGAGTGAAGAGAAGGTGTGATTACAAAGGGATAGCATAAGATATTTTTTAGAACTGTTCTGAATCCTGATAGTACTGGTGAATGCAGGACTCCATATGTATAGTAACATTGATAGACTATATACCAAGAAAGTTGAATTTCCCATGTAATCATTTAAAAGTAAAACGTAAAAATACACTTCCCATTAAAATTGTAATTTGTTGTTTTGTTTCCCATCTTCTAGATAACTTTATTTCTTAAAAATATCTTTTAAGGGGGGATCACAGGAAGATGGCGGCATGAGTAGTTCAGAGGAAATCTTCTCCCCAAAACATATATATTTATGAAAATACAATAAATACAACTATTCCTAAAAGAGACACCAGTGGATACAGTACAACAGCCAGGATACATCTACATCTGTGAGAACTCAACATCACATGAAGGGGGTAAGATACAAGCTGCGGCCAGGTGGGAACCGAACGCTCCCCCACCCCACAACCTGGTGGGACTAAAGGAGTCGGAACGGGGAGGGAGTGAAATCCCAGGACTACAACCAGCTCTAGAAATCCACACCTGGAGCGCAGACACAAGGTGTATGGGCGGCTGGATATTAGAGAAACGGAAAAGCAAAACCTGTGGGCAGGTCCCCACAACTGGGGCCCCTGAGACAAAAGAAAAGCGAGTGCTTTCTGCACGTCTTAAAGAGACAGGGACCCCATAGCTGGCCGAAGTCATCTCGGCACACTTAGCCAGCAGCTGGGAATCCCGGGGAACCTTAGGTGCCCTAATCCCCAGGGAGGCAGTGTGGCTCTGAAGATCCTCACGGCACTAAGCAGCCTGCCAGTAGTTCCCCCAACTGGCACGGACCCCGACATACCGGCCCAGTAGCGGGAGAGTGGCAGCACGTGCCAGGGGCGGCAACACCAGAAGGGACCAGGAGCAGATCGCGTGTGCCAAAGGCAACAGAGGGGACCAGGAGAGGCTTGTGCAAGCCCGCAGCAGCGGAGACTGAACAGGCCGGGTACGGCTCACGTGCACCAATGGCAATGGAGTCAGAGGAGCCCGGTAGAAGCCCGCACGGGAGAGCCCCGTGCGCAGCTTCAGCGGAGCCAGAGGGAGCAGGAGCACTCCCAGCAGCCGACTGGAATCCCAGCCCAACATACAGCCACCTGGGCCAGACCTAAAGGTTGCTGCTGCCACACAGTGCCCGGCAGGGGCACACCTAGTGTGGCTGACACTCCCTGCAGGGCTCCACACTGCTCTGACGGAGACCCCACACATGGCAGCTTTGGGGACTAACCCGATGGCTGCTCCAGGAGTGCAGGTAAGCGACACAGGCAGCAGAGAAGGGCAAGGCATCCAGCAAGCAGAAAAGGACTTTTCTCTCCCAGCTGACACACCTGCAACCTGCCTACAGCCACCGCTATCACCATGAAAAGGCAAAAAAATTTACTCCAGTCCAAGATAGGTCAGACAACACTTGAGAGAGGATCTGCAGAGACAGACCTAACCAGTCTCCCTGAAAAAGAATTCAAAATAAAAATCATAAACATGCTGACAGAACTGCAGAGAAATATGCAAGAGCTAAGGGATGAAGTCCGGAGGGAGACTACAGATGTCCGGAGGGAGATTACAGAAGTGAAACAAACTCTGGAAGGATTTATAAGCAGAATGGATAAGATGCAAGAGGTCATTGATGGAATAGAAACCAGAGAACAGGAACGCACAGAAGCTGATGCAGAGAGAGATAAAAGGATCTCCAGGAATGAAACAATATTAAGAGAACTCTGTGACCAATCCAAAAGGAACAATCTCCACATTATACGGGTACCAGAAGAAGAGAGAAAAAAGTGATAGAAAGTGTCTTTGAAGAAATAATTGCTGAGAACTTCCCCAAACTGGGGGAGGAAATAGTCGCTGAGGCTACAGAGGCACACAGAACCCCCAAAGAGATGGAACCCAAAGAGGACAACACCAAGACACATAATAATTAAAATGGCAAAGATGAAGGACAAGGACAGAGTATTAAAGGCAGCCGGAGAGAGAAAAAAGGTCACCTACAAAGGAAAACCCATCAGGCTATCATCAGACTTCTCAACAGAAACCTTACAGGCCAGAAGAGAATGGCATGATATACTTAATGCAATGAAACAGAAGGGCCTTGAACCAAGGATACTGTATCCAGCACGATTATCATTTAAATATGAAGGAGGGATTAAACAATTCCCAGACAAGCAAAAGTTGAGGGAATTTGCCTCCCACAAACCACCTCTACAAGGTATCTTAGAGGGACTGCTCTAGATGGGAGCACTCCTAAAAAGAGCACAGAACAAAACACCCAACATATGAAGAATGGAGGAGGGGGAATAAGAAGGGAGAGAAATAATATAATGAATCATCAGACAGTGTTTATAATAGCTCAATAAGCCAGTTAAGTTAGACAGTAAGGTAGTAAACAAGCTAACCTTGAACCTTTGGTAACCACAAATTTAAAGCCTCCAATGGCAATAAGTATGTACCTTTCAATAATCACCCTAAATGTAAATGGACTGAATGTACCAATTAAAAGACACAGAGTAATAGAATGTTTAAAAAAGAAGACCCATCTATATGCTGCTTACAAGAGACTCACCTCAAACCCAAAGACATGCACAGATTAAAAGTCAAGGGATGGAAAAACATATTTCAGGCAAACAGCAGCGAGAAGAGAGCAGGGGTTGCAATACTAGTATCAGACAAAATAGACTTCAAAATAAAGAAAGTACCAAGAGATAAAGAAGGACATTACAGAATGATAAAGGGCTCAGTCCAAAAAGAGGATATAACCATTATAAATATATATGCACCCAATACAGGAGCAACAATATATGTGAAACAAATACTAACAGAATTACAGGAGGAAATAGAATGCAATGCATTCATTTTGGGAGACTTCAACACACCACTCACTCCAAAGGACAGATCCACAGGACAGAAAATAAGTAAGGACACAGAGGCACTGAACAACACATGAGAACTGATGGACCTAATAGACATCTACAGAACTCTACATCCAAAAGCAACAGGATACACATTCTTCTCAAGTGCACATGGAACATTCTCCAGAATAGAAGAATAGATCACATACTAGGTCACTAAAACAGCCTCAGTAAATTCAAAATGATTGAAATCCTACCAACCAACTTTTCAGACCGCAAAGATATAAAACTAGAAATAAATTGTACAAAGAAAGCAAAAAGGCTCACAAACACATGGAGGCTTCACAACATGCTCCTAAATGATCAATGGATCAATGACCAAAGTAAAATAGAGATCAAGGAATATATGGAAAGAAATGACAACAACACAAAGCCCCAACTTCTGTGGGACACAGCGAAAGCAGTCTTAAGAGGAAAGTATATAGCAATCCAGGCATATTTAAAGAAGGAAGAACAAACTCAAATGAATAGTCTAACGTCACAGTTATCAGAATGGGAAAAAGAAGAACAAATGAGGCCTAAGGTCAGCAGAAGGAGGGACATAATAAAGATCAGAGAAGAAATAAATAAAATTGAGAAGAATAAAACAATAGAAAAAATAAGAGAAACCAAGAGCTGGTTCTTTGAGAAAATAAACAAAATAGATAAGCCTCTAGCCACACTTATTAAGAGAAAAAGAAAGTCAACACACATCAACAGAATCAGAAACGAGAAAGGAAAAATCATGATGGACCCCACAGAAATACAAAGAATTATTAGAGAATACTATGAATACCTACCTATATGCTAACAAATTGGAATACCTAGGAGAAATGGATAACTTCCTAGGAAAATACAACCTTCCAAGACTGACCCAGAAAGAAACAAAATCTAAACAGACCAATTACCAGCAACGAAATTGATTCAGTAATCAAAACTACCCAAGAACAAAACCCCCGGACCAGACGGATTTACCTCGGAATTTTATCAGACATACAGAGAAGACATAATACCCATTCTCCTTAAAGTTTTCCAAAATATAGAAGAGGAGGGAATACTCCCAAACTCATTCTATGAAGCCAACATCACCCTAAAACCAAAACCAGGCAAAGACCCCACCAAAAAAGAAAACTGCAGACCAATATCCCTGATGAACGTAGATGCAAAAATACTCAACAAAATATTAACAAATCGAATTCAAAAATACATCAAGAGGATCATACACCATGACCAAGTGGGATTCATCCCAGGGATGCAAGGATGGTACAACATTCGAAAATCCATCAACATCATCCACCACATCAACAAAAAGAAGGACAAAAACCATA